TAGTTCAAAAGTCAACAATCACAAGGGCACTGCTTCATGAGATCAGTCCGCCTGAATCTCCCAGACTCTAAGGTCCAGCTGCAGATGGACAGGCTTATAATTTACAGTCAAAAAAGAGAAAAAAAAACCCCAATAACTCCACTTAAACTAAATATTTAGGTGTCTTGTTGTCAGTGCTTGGGGACTAGAAATCATCTCTCTCACTGACCCTTTCTCCCTGCTGATGGATCTTTATCATTCAAGAATGAGCTTGAGATCCTTGGAGATGGGAGTAATATTTTTTTCTGCTGCTACTCTTTGCTCTGTGCTTTTGTACTCACTACATGGTTCTCCCTGTGGAATGCCCAACATGATAATATCAATTTAACCACTGTGCTTCACTGATCTTTAAGGGAGTTCCTCACTGGTGTTTGATTTCCAGAAACCCTGGATTTTTCTGAGAAAGTTAAATCAAGGCTAAAGTTATCTTGGCTTATTAGTATAAGCAGTTATTTAGGAACCTGAACAGCTCTTTCAGACATTTTTTCAGTGAATACGCCTCAGCTGATTTAATGTTTTGTAAATCCCATGCATGCAGACTCAAAAAGTCATCTCAAGAGTGACATGAGTACAATTTGTATCCATGTACTGTAATTTTGTAAATTAAGCTGCCTTTCTCCAGCTCTAGTACATGTGCTCTTTTGTAGATGAAAGCATATTTATCTTTAGATACAAGATCTGGACTTTGTTCAACTCTGAGTTGTAGCTAATTGCTGTTTGGATTAAGGTCATTTGGATAAAGGTGCTTCTCAGTATTTATATTTTTAAAGCTTAATATGGACCAAATAAGATTTTCTCAAACCAGAGTCTCCTAGAAGGCTCAGGTGCCTTGCAGGGTGGTAACAGCAACACAAAAGCTTTCCTTTGCTGGGCATTGTTTTGATTCCAGCATCAGTCAGTAGGGATTGAAAAGCATTAAACAAGATGAAGCAGCTGTTTTATGTGGGTACCCAGGGAAAATTCAACAAGGTCTGTGCTTGTTTCTGAATCTCCAAGAACACCTGCACTGTCGTCCTGCTGCTGGCAGTTTTAGGCAAGTCCTGACCTGGACAAGAGTTGGTTCTTCTCATGCTGGCTGGAGGCAGGTTAGCCAGGGAGCAGCGAAAGGAAAAGTCACCCTGTACTTTGCAAAACTAGCTCACAGAGCTCTGTCAGTCAGCAGCCTAATCCCACCACTGAGTTTCTCTAATCATAGGAGTTTAATGGATTTCACTTTTGTTCCTCACCTGGGTATGACTATTAAGTCATGGAAGTTTTAAAAGCTTACAAGAGAGCTGAAGTGAGGAGTGAGAACAGCGGGGTGCCCCGTGAGAAACGCTGGTGTTTGAAACCTGAGTAGCTGTGACTTTGCTCCACCACTATGGCCTGGGCTGAGCCAGACCTCATGGGCATCCCTGAGCTGGTCACACAAACTTGGGGCTGAGACAGGAGAGAAACCCTGACTTCCAAAACACAAACTTGAACTAGGAAACAAAGAAGGATCGTGAAATTCTTAAAGGCTGCTGTGAGTAGGAAAATAAAAGGCTTTTTATAAATAATGTCAGATTCAAATGAAAGTTTTTCTCCCTCACCCACATGAGCAGCATGAGGGTCTTCCAAGGGTGAATTCAGCCTCCTCTCTGGGAAAGACCCTAGCAAATATTAACTGGAAAGAAGAGTTTTCTTGATGGGCCAATAAGGAGATGATGGCAACCAGACTGCTCTCTCCTCTGCAAGAAATACCTCAGCATTGCTCTCCAGGATGCCTCAAGGATTGTGCTCTTTGTGTACTCTGCAGCTGTGATTTCTCCTGGAACAGTCCCAGGATGGCTCCAGCAGAAAGCTGCTCTGGGGGAGCCTCTGGAAGTTGTTACAGATAAAATTAAACATGCTCAGTGACTTCTTACACAGACAATGTTCCCCTCAGCCTAGGGCTTCTGCTGAAGTGCTACATTCTCAGAAGATAAGTATCATGCAGTAAAAGCCTCACCTGTGTTGTGCTTTAGGAACAGGGGGGGAAGAAAATCTTGAAAACAGAAAAAGAAAACTCACCAAGAGTTTCATCAGTGACCTCGTTTTAGTTACCTAGTCAGGGTTAGTACAGCACTGTGTCTGCTTTAACTGATGTGATGAGAAATTGTAGATGGCACAAGAGCAGCTTCACTAATGCTGAACCCTGTAAAATTCATCTTGACAACCCAGTGAGCTGTTTTGTTCTTCTAGAAGGTTTTTAATCTCCTCGTGTTGTCTTTCATCTTGGGTTGTTTTGGTTTTTTTTTGAGAAAGATTCTCATAGAAGGGTAGCAAGTTGGCCGTCAGCAGGTCTGTGCTCTTATGTTGCCTGTTGTGGGCAAGGTAAGAAAGAAAAATCCCTTTTGGAGAAAGAAAAGGGTTGAGACGCAGCTGCTCCGCTTTCGGTGCTTTTTACCGAACTCGGGGGTTTTGCAAAGAGAACACGGTTTGAAGAGAGTGACGGATTTTTGCGCGCCAGGACGGCAGCGGACGGAGCTGTTTTCCCTGCAGGCGAAGCCGAAACTCGGCATCTGCCATCAGGGGGTGTCCGCTCCGAGGCTCCGGCGGGTCCCAATTGTTCCTCTGCTGTCCCCTCTCCTGACCGCGAACAAGTTAGTCAGGACGCAGCCCCACAGGCATCCCCAGGGAACCTGGCCTTTGGGTTCGCCCCGCCCCGTGTCCCCTCCCTGCCCACGCGTGGGGATAACGATGCCCGTGTCACCAACCCAGGGTTTGGCGGAGGGGGGG